AAAAATGCAAGCTCATATTTGAGGCTGCTGTTTCTAACATTGTGGGCCTGACCTGTTCAAGAACCGTAAATTAGTTGCCATTTAGTTTTTCCGTAATGTGAATGAGGAAAGTTTATCGAACTTTCTTAAATGGGCAATTGCCAGTGGTATTAGGTGAGCATCTAATACAGCCCTTTTGATGGGCCTCACTAGTCAAACAGACATGATCAAAGCTTCACCTCCTTTCTGCAAGCAATTGTAAATTAATAAGGCTTCTGCCAGAGCTAAATCATCTTTTCTGAAGGAAAACTTGGCTACGACCACCCGTTAGTTCCTAAATATAATTCTCACCAATCTCAACCCCTTATTATGCTAGACTCCCTTTGCTTCGCAGAAAAGATTGAGGAACAGAGGCTGCCATAATGATTAAGCTTTCATTACTTCATGCCTATTACACTCGAGCGCTTGCTAAAACAAACAGCATTTTTCAAAATGGACCAAAATTGAGGTAGCAATAGGCTCACAACCCAGTGGTGGTTCTGTCAGGCCCCATGCAGGCACTGCATGTATACCATTAAAATATGCCCTACTAGTGCTACAAAAAGTGAGCATACAGCTGTTCACACTGTTTGGAGCACTAAAGAGACACTAAAAGTACTACAAAATATTTGCATTTTCTAAGTGTACCTTTTTGGCAGCACTGTGCTATGTGTAACACCTGTACAATTACTTGTAACACCGGGGATCTGTAGGAGTCAGCACCAGTCCCTCACCCCCTTCCCTTGCCAGTGCTGTCAGGGAGCCCTTCTACTACAGCTGCTTGAACAGTCCCAGCTCCCGTCCATTGGCAGAGCAGGTAGGAAGGCTGGGTTTAGAGTTGGGATGAGGGAGTTTCCACCACCAGTGAAAGAGCGATTATGCTGGCAGAAAGCACATGTCCCTTTCCTGTCCCCTCATCAGTCAGAGTGTTTTGTCTGCTGATACACTGAAATAATGGATAGCACAAGTTGGGAGACTAAAGCTGCCTCTCAAGGCATGTGTTTGGTCCCTCTTCCTGTCAGAAGGGGGCCTCAAAACACCTCTGCTGAGATGGGAAACATTTTTTATTCTCATTTGAGAAGCATGGAATAGAGTAAGTGACACTAGTCACGAGGAAATCTGGCTAAGCTAGACCCACCCAGCTAGACCTAGTCCATTTAATGTCGATCTGAATTTTCATTGAATGTGGACAGACATCCCACTGTCGCACACTGCTTCCTGGAGCTAGCTTTCCCACCCGCAGAACCTGAAGTGAATATACAATGCACTTTAGCATACTGAGAACACAATGTAGCAGGAAATCTGCACTTTGAAATGCATCAGTTGTCACAGACGTGCTACTTGGCATCAGAGTGGCCTCAAATCCAGAGTTCAAGCCCTGATGATGGCTAGCTTGCTGCAGAGAAGACAGAGGCTTCAGTATGATGTTGTTTGAACTTTGACAATATGCATGTAAGCAGTCCCCTGCACTGGGTCTCACGGTGCGGCTCTGTTATAATTTGGTATTACCATATTTACTTGATTCTAAGACAAGGTCTTTTCCTTCCTATTTAACAGCCGGTAAGAAGCCCCTTGTCTCAGAATAGGGAAGCAACTGCTGTGCCTTAAGCTCCAGCCCCTAGACAGGGTTGGTACCTTCCCACCCCCACCAGCTCTGCACCCCATCTCCCTTCTGTAGCCTCTTTCTTATCTCCCTGCCATGCAGCCTCTCATCCCCCACCTGCCTCACTTCCTCCCCACCCCACTCTTACCCTTGTTCCATGCTGGCAGGCTGTGTGCATGCTGCAGCCTGGGGCATCGAGTACAGCCCTAGCCCGGCCCCAAGCAGTGGTGAGCAGCCCGCACAGCTGCTACAGGGGCTGTGCTCAGTGCCCCAGGCTAGAATGGGAATGCAGCCTGCCAGCACAAAGTGACACTATGAGGGGAAAGGGGATGCACAGGCTGCTGTGGGGGAGTTGAGGACTAAAGGCTGGTGGGGAGAAGGGACAGGTGGGGTGGGGGACACAAACAGGGAGTAAGCTGCTTGACCTCCCCACACCATCTGCCTCCCCATTGCTTACCCCTTTGCAGTGGTGGGGGCCCAGATTAAAGAGGACCCTCCAATAATTAGATTCTATACATGGAAAATTATAACAGTTACAAAAGCCTGGAAAAGTGCAGGCTCAGGGGTGACCTGATGGCCACCTATAAGTTTATCAGGGGTGACCACCAGTATCTGGGGGAACGTTTGTTCACCAGAGCGCCCCAAGGGATGACAAGGTCGAACAGTTATAAACTCCTGCAAGACTGTTTCAGGCTGGACATAAGGAAGAATTTCTTTACTGTCTGAGCCCCCAAGGTCTAGAACA